GGTGAGAGTGAGTGTAAACTCACTCAGGGTGAGAGTGTGTGTAAACTCACTCAGGGTGAGAGTGTGTGTAAACTCCTTCTCCTGTCATTCAAAATATATATAAAAAAAGTTTCAAAAACTGTTGGCATTCTTTCTAAGATCAGATATTATGTACTTCGCCCTGCCCTGGTGATGCTCTATTACTCTCTTATCTTTCCTTATCTCAACTATGGTATTTGTGCTTGGGGTTCTACTACCCAAAATCATTTACGTCCTCTAATTACTCAACACAAAGCTGCTATTAGGACAATATCTAACTCTGGCCCCAGACATCACTCGGTACCCTTACTCAAATCTCTGAGTATGTTAGATATTAAGTCACTGCACATCCTCTCATGTGTAATTTATATGTATAAAACGCTGAACTTTTTTATTATTATTATTAATTTCTACCACAGACGTGGCCACACATTTACAATACTAACCAGCATATATACATTTTCTTCTGTCCTCCATGGACAGGGTTAGAGACGTGTTAAACATATAGTTCAAGGGTTTATTGAACAATCAACCACAGAAGGTATTGCACTAGTTTCTCTATCAGCTATCTCACCCCGTCAGAGTAAAAGAGACAAACGCTGAACTGTAATGTCAATCCTGACCTTATTTTCTTATTTTTTTTCTCAACACAATTTATACTTTGATCTCAATTAGTATTAAGTTTTAGTCTTAGTGTTTTTCCTGCCCGAAACACATTGCGTAATAGTGGCTTTAGGCATTGTATGTACTAGCTCTATCTATAAATCCATCAACGTTTTGTATCTATGTATGTACTTTAACTGAATAAATATTTGTATTTGTATTTTGTATTTTGTACTTGTACCCATACACAGCTGGGACTTGCTTAACTGTCTCAAGTGAACAGCTCCTCAAACAAGATTAACATCTGTCAACCCTTAAAATCTTACGTTATCTTGCAGATACAAAATGGGGGAAATCTTTTAAGAACAGTATTAATATTTCACAAATAGTGTTTTTCTAACTCAAACAATGTGGGATTTATTATGGTACACATATTTCTAATGTCTCTCAGGTGTTCACATTCTCTCAGGTAGTGGTCAAGGTGGTGTCCGTCACTCTCATCACAGATTCTGCAACTCCGCTGCTCATCTGTTGTTTCCATTCCGAATCTCCATGGATATTTGTATCCAAGATGGATTCTCGCCATTACTGATTCTCTCCCACGGCCACCTCCTCTTCGTCCATAATGATTGGGATTGCCAGCCGCAACCATATTGTACCAACGTACATATTCACTGATTTGTGCTTCTATCCTCCTTTCCTCAATTACCTTGTCACGGTGATGTTGTCTGACAATACCTCAAATTTGTTGAAGAGTCTTGGGTATGAAGTATTCAATATGGTCTCCTTCAGCACCTTCAGCAGCCAGCATACCTGCCCGTTTATTTTCACATATTCCAACAGGGGAGGGGATCCATAGAAACTTGACAACTCTTCCCTGGTTGATTAGTACCCTCACAGCTCTCTTAATTTCAGCGACTATCACAAGATTTTCTGCCCGATTTTTACTTAGGGTTTGTGACACTGCTTTTAAATCAGTGCAAATCACTGCGCCATTAGTGTTTTGATCAAGGAATCTTAACGCCATAACAATGGCAGTTAGCTCCGCTTGCGTTGAAGAGGCATAGTTCCCAATATGTGCTTTCACTTCATTTCTGCGTTGAAAGGTATTGTTACGAACCCAATTCCATCGTCAGAGCACGGAGTAGTGACGTCAATGCCATCTGTGAGTCCGCTCCCGAAACCCCCACAAATTGGACGATGCCATCTAGTGGTGACAGGATCATACCAGCAAGAGGCGCTAGATTCCTGTCCTAGTTAGCTAGAGGGGTAGCTGGTGCTGACCTCTGGTGAGGTGCCGCCTAGAAAATCAGCGCCATCTATTATAGGAGGAGTTGGGTGTCTATGTCTAAGTCAGTAAGTGTTGTTTACTAGTGTCTCCATGTACTGACCAGTGTACTGATGACGTGTCTGTATCCACAGAGTCGACGTAGGGCTGCTGTGGTACGAGAACAGTCAGTCTACCCAGGGCAGCCAATGTCTCTCTACTCCATTCTGCTTTACGGAAGCAGTGAGCCGCCACCGGAGAAGAACTGAGGTGTTCTACTGTCTGCCTGTGAAATGGCAGTGACGGAATTCGGCGTACCCGGGACTGGCTAACAGAAGAGTCGACTGACAGTTAAGGTGCGACTGAGGAGTGCAACCAGCGAGTTGCAAGAAGCTCCTGCCTAGGGGTCGCTACCCTAGTATTTGTAAGTGAAGTGGCCCAGCAGCGCGAGGCTCATGGTATCTGCCAGCACCAGGCTGGACTGTGATTGTGGGCGTTCACGAGAGAGCACATAGTGAGACTGTGTTTTGGCTGGCCCGTGGCCAGGGTAGATTCGTTGGTGTTTCCCAGTACTGGTTGAGGACGGTACTATGTGTTGAGGAAACACGGTAGCTGACAAGACTGCATCGATTGAGCATCGAATAGTGCTTAGTGTCCAATGAGAGAGACACTTGTGTACATATTAAGTGTAGTAATATTTCTTTTAGGAATATATATGCGGTGATGGGAAAGTGATAATGAATTTATAGATAATTGATGAAGTGTCGTATTTAATGCAACCCCCCCCCCCCCTTCTTTGTGTTTTACTTGCATTACCGAGCTCACTCCTTGAAAGCCACTACTAACTTGGGGCCGGATACCAGAACTTTAGTACCACCAGAAAAGAACCCGGTTGCGACCCATTGTGGCTGTAACAGGTATTATTCCTATTTACAGTGTATGCTGCACCAGTCCTGCCATTGACAGGATTAGATGACCCATCTGTGTAGATTTGATCCAGTACATCTCCGGATTCTTTATAAATTTCCCCGAGATACTTGTGCCTCATTTCTTGTGGTATCATGTTGGATTTTTTCGTTGCCATTTCATTGATGACAATCCTGCATGAGTTATCCTCCCAGGGAGGTAACCTCTCTACAGGGAGGAGCTCACGGGCTTGCTCAAGCATGTGAAGTTCTACTAGGTAGTAGACTGATCTGTGATGCCATTTTTTGCTTCTCCTGTTTCCTTCTGGAAGTAGCACAGAACTTAGATTTTTCTTGGCAACATCATTGTAATAGGGATCTCTGGCTAGCTTAATTGCAAGCTTAGCATTCAGTTCCTTAATTCTGCTTTTAAACACAGGGGAGGGACAGCTCCCCTCGTAGATTAAACGATTTGACAGTTCTTGGAACTCCAAGAATGAGTGTCATGGCTTCATTTTGAATGCTTTCAAGCCTATTCATATCGCTTTGGGAGAAGGTTCATAAAACTGGTGCGGCATAGTCTATGATGGAGTGCACATAGGCCGTGTACATCATTTTAAGGACGACAATAGAGGCTCCATGTCCATTTGCATATTTATATGAGTTGGTTGAGCTCCTCTTTCTTCCCCTTGTGAGAGCCGACAGTGACACCAAGGTACCTGTAGTTGTCAACCATTCAATTGTTACACCAATAATTTGTAATTCTTCATTTGCCCCCCGCTTGTTATGAGTCTTGTTTGTGGAGAGAGTGAAACCGAGCTCAATACATTTCCTTCCATGGGGTTCAATGGACTGTTTAATTTTTCCCAAGGGGTGGGCTTGTATTAGGACATCATCTGCATATCCCACTTGTTGCATCCCTTCCGGAAAATCAATATTTGCAATGGCGTTCATAAGTACATTGAATAGTGTGACTTATGACTCCGCCTTGGGGGAGTCCCCCAAGGCAATTCATTGTTCTTGAGACTGCTCCATTGAAGCAAACCTTGGCTTTCCTCCCTGTAAGGTAGTCTTCAACCCATTTCGTGTACATAAACTGTGTACAATGTGTGTACTGGCATCCGTGTCCTGTACATTCAGCAAGAGAGCATAGTCTAATCTTCCTCCTCTAAGGTGAGTTGGCTGGTCATCTCCCAGGACCATGAGGTTTTCACTTGCTCTAACATAGTGACAGTTTCTAACATTGGGCTGATGACAGTTAGCACCAAAGTGTGGGTGCCTGGCATTAAGGTCACCGACCAGCAGGGTAGGTTCTTCATTAGTAAATTCAGGTAGTGTGTCAAGGTCAAGTTTATTCTGTGGCACATATAGGTTGATTATATGTAGGGCATTATTGTTTAAGTGAAGGGTTACCCTCAGTGACTCATACTCATAACACAGAACACCGAGAATTATCATCAGTCATCTGGAGAGCTGGAGGTCGAACCTTATTCCAGCCTTGAGGAATACTGTACTGGGTTCCCTCACTCAAACCTTCAGTCTACCTGCCACCCAGAAACCATCAACGACAGGAGCGCAAGGGCGTGACAAGTGTGATATTACAGTCAGTACTAATCCCGGATTATTTTAAACGTGCACATAGTTTGGTTGAGCAGTAATCACTCAACCTCGCATCATTAGGGTATTACCTCGCAACGACTCTGCTCTGTCTTGAGATCCAATGAGGTTACGAATGTGTAATCTGTCAGAAGTGACAGCTCTAACCTGTCAAGTGTCGAGTTACTAGAGAAGTGACGTGTTGTATGTGTGTGTGAATAATATTATAATGCAAACATATTTGAGAAATAGGATTGTTTACAAATATATTACAGGAAGTATTGAGAGAGATTTATTACTACTAATGTCTTGGTGATACGTAAGTGGACTAATTAGCGGTTGTCTTGGTGACACGTAAGTGGACTAATTAGTGGTTGTCTTGGTGACACGTAAGTGGTGTAATTAGCAGTTAGTGGTGTAACTGCAAAGTTGTCACCATTGTCTTGGTGACAAGTTTACAGTATTATAGTATTTTTACGTATTAGAAATTGATTTGTTTTTTACATAATTATAAATAAATATGACCTATTTCCTGTATGACATTTGATGAAAATACATTAACTACTGTATGAATAGTGAGGAAAGTGTAGTGAGAGCTGAGAGTTACTTACCTGTGTGGCGTTGTGGCGTCTGGTGGCCCCAGTGTGGTCCATCTCCTGACAACTGCTGTCAGTGTGGCGTCTGGTGGCCCCAGTGTGGTCCATCTCCTGACTACTGCTGTCAGTGTGGCGTCTGGTGGCCCCAGTGTGGTCCATCTTCTGACTACTGCTGTCAGTGTGGCGTCTGGTGGCCCCAGTGTGGTCCATCTTCTGACTACTGCTGTCAGTGTGGCGTCTGGTGGCCCCAGTGTGGTCCATCTCCTGACTACTGCTGTCAGTGTGGCGTCTGGTGGCCCCAGTGTGGTCCATCTCCTGACTACTGCTGTCAGTGTGGCGTCTGGTGGCCCCAGTGTGGTCCATCTCCTGACTACTGCTGTCAGTGTGGCGTCTGGTGGCCCCAGTGTGGTCCATCTCCTGACTACTGCTGTCAGTGTGGCGTCTGGTGGCCCCAGTGTGGTCCATCTCCTGACTACTGCTGTCAGTGTGGCGTCTGGTGGCCCCAGCGTGGTCCATCTCCTGACTACTGCTGTCAGTGTGGCGTCTGGTGGCCCCAGTGTGGTCCATCTCCTGACTACTGCTGTCAGTGTGGCGTCTGGTGGCCCCAGTGTGGTCCATCTCCTGACTACTGCTGTCAGTGTGGCGTCTGGTGGCCCCAGTGTGGTCCATCTCCTGACTACTGCTGTCAGTGTGGCGTCTGGTGGCCCCAGTGTGGTCCATCTCCTGACTACTGCTGTCAGTGTGGCGTCTGGTGGCCCCAGTGTGGTCCATCTCCTGACTACTGCTGTCAGTGTGGCGTCTGGTGGCCCCAGTGGCCCCAGCGTGGTCCATCTCCTGACTACTGCTGTCAGTGTGGCGTCTGGTGGCCCCAGTGTGGTCCATCTCCTGACTACTGCTGTCAGTGTGGCGTCTGGTGGCCCCAGTGTGGTCCATCTCCTGACAACTACTGTCAGTAAGACGCCAGGACCACTGACAACTACTGTCAGTAAGACGCCAGGACCACTGACAACTACTGTCAGTAAGACGCCAGGACCACTGACAACTACTGTCAGTAAGACGCCAGGACCACTGACAACTACTGTCAGTAAGACGCCAGGTGACAACTACTGTCAGTAAGACGCCAGGACCACTGACAACTACTGTCAGTAAGTGGACCACTGACAACTACTGTCAGTAAGACGCCAGGACCACTGACAACTACTGTCAGTAAGACGCCAGGACCACTGACAACTACTGTCAGTAAGACGCCAGGATCACTCCGTAAGACGCCACTGTCACTGACGACTACTGTCAGGGGACGCCAGGACAGTCTTCTCCTGCTAAGACGCCAGGATCCCTCCGTCCACTGTCTCTGACGATCTTCAGGGGATCAACAGTCTTCTCCTGCTGATGTTCGTGTGGGAAAAACCTGCTGGGATTGATATTAGAGGAGACTACCAGGGACTTGTAATGAACTAAATTAAAAAATTACTGTCTGTAAATTAATTCAACTAAAATCTCTAGCTAGGGTTGTAAATCCTAGCTCCTCTTTTCCTAATGACAGATTGTGGGCTGTAAGGGGCAGGTGGGGTGAATGAATTAGTTGATAGAAGTTCCAGTCCACCTGTAGACAGGGATCTCACATCAGCTTGTATTTTATAGAAGGATAAGATTTGATAAATTCAGTTATATGACTGAACACTGGCTCTGTTTAAATCAGGGATTTAAACATGTACATAGTCTAGCCTAGCACCATAACTATTAACAGCCAATATATTCTTATACTATAAACAACAAATTAAATTGTAAAAGTATAATAAATGACTTTAAATGTACTGTTACCAAGTACAAAATTATATTCAATTAAATGAACTTATATGATAACTTAAAAATAACTAAGCAAGCAATTGTTAACTTAATTTATATATTCAAGTATATATGCAATGTATTTATATTCAATTTATTAGAATAAGGTACAATCAGCTTGACTGAATCTCTTCCAACACCACGGACACTTATGAGGTTTTATTTACTTATTGCAGTTGAATCCTTTTCTGACACAATGGAGACTCGTGAGGTCTAGTGCTTGGATAAAGATTCACAGCTACACTACAATTTTAATAAACTTACTGAAAAATGAGGCGTTGCCTCGCTTTTTAACCGACAGACAGATTTATAGAATATTAAAGTCACACAAGCATACAATTGGCCAATCATATACCAAAATAACCTTCAATATACTTCTCTGCCAGTCGGAGTGCCTGTCTGACAGTGTGCCAGACTGATTAACTTTCTCTTGTTGAGTTTAGGCACAATATTTTATATCACAGCTTTGCTGTATGATGATCTGGTAGCGTTGCTACGTGTTTGTCCCTGCAGTTGCAGAAGAATGATAGTTGATGGTGAAGGTGGAGCCAAGTCACTGTGTGCTCCGCTCTACACTTATAGATATAAATGTTCTAGGGATTTTCCTAGTAAATATTGTCCAGGTACTCCCCCAGTTCTAGAGAGTATTCACTGGTGATAAAGATAACTAGATAAGGTGTCCTAAGCCAAATAATGTTCGCTAAGGATCCGTCACTGTTCACTGTTTTGTCAACAAACGGGTAGTGCCGCGGGGTGTGTCCTGGGCCCTTCTCCCAGCCATCGCCCCCCCCCCCATGCTCCCTGAGCACGGTAGCCTTCTATGAATATTGATTGATTATTTTTACAGTCTAGACTTATGATTGAGATAAGATGTGATTATAATATAATTAGATATAGGATATAAAGATTATAAGTAGTACTTGATAGTACCACTGATTCTTATTAAGGATTCGACTTTATCCCTACCGGATATTGAATCAATGTTCCAACAGTTTTTAAATTAACAGATCCTTCTAGAAGCTTCTGGATCCTTGAGAGATCATGCACAAAGTCACGTAGGCATCAATAGGGCCCTGTAGCGTACGTGATCATAGTGACATTGTCATCTAGGATCAAGCTGTATAAGGAATCTATTATGATTCTAATATGATTTTGATATGATTTTGATATGATTTAGAAATAATATAGAAATTATACATTTCTTAGATGATTATTAGATATGGTGGGGAAAAATTTCCCACAGTTCGGGTCAACATAGCCAACCCGCTCCTGTCGACCTGTCATCAACACAGGTCAACAGAGCATCACAAGTCATCAACACAGGTCAACAGAGCCTCACTAGTCTTCATCACAGGTCAACAGCCTCACTAGTCATCAACACAGGTCACACAGAGTCTTCATCACAGGTCAACAGAGCCTCACTAGTCATCAACACAGGTCAACAGAGCCTCACTAGTCATCACTAGTCATCAACACAGGTCAACAGAGCCTCACTAGTCATCAACACAGGTCAACACAGGTCAGCCTCACTAGTCCTCAACACAGGTCAACAGAGCCTCACTAGTCATCAACACAGGTCAACAGAGCCTCACTAGTCATCAACACAGGTCAACAGAGCCTCACTAGTCATCATCAATCACACTAGTCAAGTCATCATCACAGTCAACAGAGCCTCACTAGTCATCAACACAGGTCAACAGAGCCATCACTAGTCATCAACACAGGTCAACAGAACATCACTAGTCATCAACACAGGTCAACAGAGCCTCACTAGTCATCAACACAGGTCAACAGAGCCTCACTAGTCATCAACACAGGTCAACAGAGCCTCACTAGTCATCAACACAGGTCAACAGAGCCTCACTAGTCATCAACACACAACAGAGCCTCACTAGTCATCAACACAGGTCAACAGAGCCTCACTAGTCATCAACACAGGTCAACAGAGCCTCACTAGTCATCAACACAGGTCAACAGAGCCTCAGCCTCACTAGTCATCAACACAGGTCAACAGAGCCTCACTAGTCATCAACACAGGTCAACAGAGCCTCACTAGTCATCAACACAGGTCAACAGAGCCTCACTAGTCATCAACACAGGTCAACAGAGCCTCACTAGTCATCAACACAGGTCAACAGAGCCTCACTAGTCATCAACACAGGTCAACAGCCTCACTAGTCATCAACACAGGTCAACAGAGCCTCACTAGTCATCAACACAGGTCAACAGAGCCTCACTAGTCATCAACACAGGTCAACAGAGCCTCACTAGTCATCAACACAGGTCAACAGAGCCTCACTAGTCATCAACACAGGTCAACAGAGCCTCACTAGTCATCAACACAGGTCAACAGAGCCTCACTAGTCATCAACACAGGTCAACAGAGCCTCACTAGTCATCAACACAGGTCAACAGAGCCTCACTAGTCATCAACACAGGTCAACAGAGCCTCACTAGTCATCAACACAGGTCAACAGAGCCTCACTAGTCATCAACACAGGTCAACAGAGCCTCACTAGTCATCAACACAGGTCAACAGAGCCTCACTAGTCATCAACACAGGTCAACAGAGCCTCACTAGTCATCAACACAGGTCAACAGAGCCTCACTAGTAATCACTCACAAGTTAACTGAGTCAACGCCAGTACTGGTGCTGGCTAACCCTGGCCCGTTATCACTGACACAGGAAATGTTGCAACACCACAGTTGTTGTTATCAGTGTTTCATGACAACAGTTGCTGGTCGCTACAATCTGCTGCCGCCACATTATCATGAACAATGTTCTTAGTTAAACATACAAGACAAAAGTCACTCCAGATTATGTTAATGTTGTCCTTAACGTGTTCCCAACATTCCAGCAACATCCAGACGAATTTATACAAGAATAAGTATTGGTGTTGCTCCTGGCTCCGGGCCCCGCTGGTCGAGTGGTGAGAGTCCCAAGACCATTGTTGTTGTGCAGGAGCTGAGTGTTACTCCTGGCTCCGGGCCCCGCTGGTCGAGTGGTGAGAGTCCCAAGACCATTGTTGTTGTGCAGGAGCTGAGTGTTACTCCTGGCTCCGGGCCTCGCTGGTCGAGTGGTGAGAGTCCGAACAAGGCTCAAGCAGTCACAACGACCCACATCAGAAGGTGTCAACAATAAATGTTACAATTGTGGAGGAGACTACCCACACCAAGATAATGTTTGTCCTGCTCAAGGTAAGAAGTGCTATGAGTGTGGAAAACTAGGTCATTTTAGTGCTATGTGTCGTTCTGCACTAAAGAAACCACAGTCAATGAATAAAAGCACTGTACGAGGATCAGGTCATAGGGGTCGAGGTGGTAAACACAATATTGCACCTCATATCCAGAATGTTAATAATGTACAAGACAACATTTCATTACAACCAGTCTCAGATGACAGTGAATGTGATTATACTTATGGAGTACAAGCAATCACAGAATGGAATGATCTTCCAAACAACCCAGAGACATGTGTATACATTGCTGGTATTTGTCTCAAGGTTCTCATTGACACTGGATCAAACATTGACACCATTGCTGAATGCCACTATGAGAAATTTAAAAAACAGTTCCCAAAGCTTGAGAACTATAATGGCAAAGCCACTGCCTATGCTTCAAAGGTAGCCTTGCCAGTGATTGGAACTTTCACTGCAGAGAGCAGAGATTAAGTCAAAGAATGCAATGCTCACTACTACATTCCATGTTGTTAGGAATGCAAAGGAGTCTTTACTCAGTTACAAGACATCAACCAAATTGGGGCTACTTCAGCTTTCTAATGCTGTAGCAGTGGAATCTGCAAACAATGTTGATGCTATTGTTGCTGAATTTTCTGATCGATTTAAATCCATAGGTTGTTATACTGATAGCAAAGTACATCTGCATATCAACCCAGATGTAATTCCAGTTGCCCAACCACATCGCCGACAGCCATTCCATACTCGCAAGAAAGTCGATGCCGAACTGGATAGGCTGATGGAACTAGATATCATTGAACCAGTAACAGGCCCAACACCATGGGTAAGCCCAATTGTTACTCCACCAAAGCCGAAGAATCCAGATGAGATACGCATCTGTGTGGACATGCG